TTCAGTAATCTGAAACGATGTTGCCTTAAGCTGAGATTATTTGAAATAAGATCTTTCCTCTCCAGTAACGGATACCTAGAAAAGAAGATGTATGGCTGTAGACACAGGAGCACATATGCACATACAGTTATCATTATGGGGTAATCATAAGCTTTTTTTTCCCTGTAAGGACACAAGATATTGTTAGTAGTGGTAAAGGAAGAAGTAGCAGGTTATTGGGGTGAGGGAAAGGATTTTTATTTTATACCTTGGAATATTATTTCATTAAAAAAATAAGCACATATTTTTATTTAATAAGTAATTAAGGAGAAAAATTTAAAAAGTAGGAAAAAAAGAGAGAAAAGAGCATGTGAGATCCTGAAGCTCTGACCTTAACCTCTGGATGCCTTCCTCAATGGAAATTCTGGTTTTTATAAATCATCAGATCAAAATCTACAGGAACACGTGTTTAGCATACGTTGTGTATATCCCCCAGGGTTTTATGTGACTTATATCATGCAGCAGGCCAGTGTCTTCTCTGAGCCGCCCAGTGGCACTGCCCGGGGTGTTGGGTCAGTATTAGATGAGTCCCATTTTACGGGTGGGGGTGGGATACTTAAGCCTGAAGAAGATCAGTGGCTTGTCTAAGATGACATAGTTACTACCTGGGATGGTCAGAACTAGAATCCAAGTTTGACTCCAAGTTTGCTTCTTTTAATCCTGATGGAGAGAAATGTACTATTTATCCCGGACACTCTTTTTTCAATACTCCAAGCTGCCTCCCCTCTGGTTTCATGCCATAGCATCTACTTCATTGTCTCTTAGATCATGGTTAGCTATGTCATTGTTTCCCTCATTAATTTTATCAGCACTGGCTCTCTCTCTCTCTCTTTTGTATCCTCACTGTGTCTAATACATCATGGCGCACGTATTAGTTACTTCATCTTTGTTTTATGAAACTGGAGACTCAAGATACTTTCTCCTAAATAATTATCCATTTTTAGGAAAACAAACTAATAAATTTAGCCATTTCCACAAGACGAATGTCATTGCCCACAAGAGAATTAGAACCACATGATGTTTGAGCTGGAAGAAAATCATCTTTGCGAGTATTTATTCTCTTGGTTTATAAACGAGGAACCCAAAGATCAAATAACTTGCTCAAGATCACACAGGCAATTAGGGTTGGTGCACAGAGCCCAGTTTTCTTAACTTCCAGCCCAGCCCTCCTCCTGCTGCAATAATCATTACAGAGAACAATTCTGTTGGTCATCAAACTTATAGATGAATGGCCAATGCTGGCAGAAAGTAGGCCACACGGAATTAAAACTCCAGCGGTAAGAGAAGAAGAGGTATTGAGCTTATTTCTCTACGTTTTAATGAATGATTTTTTAGGTAGTACCTCTTTTTAAAGCAAACTTGCTATATAAATGTCAGCATTTCTACAAAAGGATTGACGGTAGGACTCTTTTTGCTGCCAAGGGCCATTTGGGTATTTATAACATCATTCATGGGCCATCCATAATTATCACCTTAAAAATTAGCCTGCTATATTTGGCCAAACATTTCATTAACTCCCTCCTAATGCCTTGACAGGGCCTGCAGGCCGGATGTTCCCCACGCCTGCTTTAGATGAGAAATATTTCAACCATGTACTTTTGTTATGGAGTAAAATTATTTTCACTTGTTGGGCAAATCAAGGTGCATAGCATCGAAGTTGTGAAATGAGAAATTAATAGTGTGTTCTCTCTGCTGGCTTCTTAAAATGGGAGCCACATCTGTCCCGCTATCCTCCCCTTCAGCAGGGAGTGGAGAACCCTCCAATTCCTAAATTCATCCCTAGGCACCTGAGTGCCCCCAAACCACTTCCAGTTTTCAAACATGATGAGAAAGGCCCCGAAAGATAGTTCTGTCTGAAGCCACCCAAAAAAAGCAACAGAGCCTGGCCGGTGTGGTTCAGTGGTTGAGCATTGACCCATGTACCAGGAGGTCATGGTTGATTCCTGGTCAGGGCACATGCCTGGATTGCAGGCTCAATCCTCAGTAGGGGACATGCAGGAGGCAGCTGATCAATGATTCTCTCTCATCATTGATGTTTCTAGCCCTCTCTCTTCCTCTCTCTGAAATAAATTTTAAAAACACATTTAAAAAAGAGCAGCAGAAGAAATTTCAAAGAGGGAGACCGTTTCCAAAGTGTGGGACAGTGGAGTCCTGGGTAGGATTCACTAAGAGAGGAGGCAGAGTGCAGTGTCCTGAAATAAGTACCTTTTGGACCAACCCCTGTTGGATCCATAGCATCCTGGAAGGCACTGGGTCCACTGGGCATGGCTGTAAAGGCCACTGTGATAAAGATGGCTCTCCAGTTCATTTTGGTGTAACAGGGGTGTAAGATGGGCGCCGTAGGACAGCTGCGGTACAATAGTAGGAGCCTCTCCTGCAGCTCGGCCTCGTGCTGCACTTTCCAAACCTCTCTGCACACTGGCATCATCCAGGGACCCTTCACAAAACACTGATGCCTGTGCCCAGCCTACCGCCCCGGAGCTGGTTGGTCTGGGAGATGTTCTTCTGGGCTTTGGAATTTTTAGAGATGATTCTGAAGTGCAGGCGAGTTTGGAAACGAATGGTCTATGGAGTGGTTCTTTGGCTGTATTAGAATCACCTGGAGATTATATACATATATGGTATGTGTGAATAGATACCTGTATGTATATATGTATGCGCACATGCATGTGTATATGTATACATATGTACATACACACATGCATACATATGTGCACCACACACTCGCACATGCATATGTACACCGCATGTATGCAGTCCTAGAAACTGATCTGTGTCATTTGGGACGGGGTCCAGACATCAATGTTATTTAAAACCATGGTTCCCCCAAATTGGCTGCACATTGGAATCATCTGGAGATTTCAAATAATACTAATGCCTGGGTCCCACTCCAGGAATTCTGGTTTAATTAGTTTAGGATCTGGTCTGGGCATCAGAATTTTTTCAAAGCTCTTTATGTGATTCTAATATGCAGCCAAGGTTGCAATCCACCGGGCAAGTGAGCAAAAGCTGACTTACCTTGCACATCGTAGGTGCTCAATAACAATTAAGTATGACATGAAAGATAGATGGGAGGGCTTATTAGAAATGTCAGTGGTGAAAAGCTGTACGTTCCTGGTTCCTTGGGCACCTCCGTGGGCCTGAGCACATCAGGCTGTGATTTGGGGTGGGGTGCGCATCGCCTTAGTGTAGCTCCCAGGGCTCCTTTCTGTGGACCTGACTGCCAAGAGCTTCCCCATTGCTCTGTTCCCCATGGTACCTACCGGTGGCAGGAGAGGCAGATCTGCTTGTCACAGTTCTGACGTTTGCAACATAGTTCTTTGGAGAAAAGAAACCAGACACCTGCTTCTGTAAGACCCAGGTGACGGAGTTAGCCCGAGGTGAACTCTGTCCAGGGCAGCAAGCCTCTGCCAGGGTCAGTGAGAACTCCCTGGAGCGGAGCTCACGTTGCCTAGCTTCCTTTGTTCCCTAGGTGATTCTTGTTGATTCCAAGGGGTGCTGGGAGGGGAGCATTTCCGCATCTGGCCCATGAAGGCGGCTGCCTTCAGCCATGAAGAGGCCTGCCAGCCTGGAGAAGGGGAAACTGCCAGGCAGCTGCTTACAGAGCAGCATCTGAACTGCTTCCAAGGGTCTCCGAAGACTCCAGAGCACTGGTTCTCAAACCCCAGCGTGCATCGGAACCCCCTGGAGGCGTCACACTCCGGCTTGCTGGGGCGGTGCCCTGATCTCTGATTCAGTAGTTACTGGGTGGGGCCCAAGACCTGGCACCTCTAACACCTTCCAGGTGATGCTTGATGCTGATGGTCCAGAGACTGCCCTTTGAGAACCACTGCTCCAGGAGGAAGGATGCAGATACTACCCATGTTGTTTAGGGAAAGGACGTTATCTGATCGCTGCAAATCTACCTCATGGTCACAAGGCCAGGAATTGAAATCATTTCCCACCCAACTGTAACACTGATAAATTGACATTAAAAAAAAAAATGATGAAACATCTATTACATGGCAAGTGTTATGCAAGCTTTGTTGCTAGATGGAGGAAGACCATGCAGTTATTCACGGAGCCGCTACTCCGGGTGGGTGGGTGATGGCCCAGTAAAGGGACAGTCACAGTACCCGTCTCCATGCTCTGTGGAGGGAGTGCCCAGGCCCCATGGGACACACATGGGCAAGAGGGAGGGTGGCTCTAAGGAGGCTTCTAGGGGCAGGGGATGCCCGGGCAGAATCTCAGAGTATGACTAGGGTGTGGCAGCTGAAGAAGGTGGGCAGTGTTCCAGGAGTGGCGTGGGCAAAGGTGAGCGAGCCTGGTCTGGGGAGCCACACATGGTTTATGTGACGAGGGAAGAGTTTGAGGGGTGAGGGAGCTTCGTGTGGACAGGCAGGCAGAGTGGGATGCGGGCGGGGGCCTGTCCTCCAGGGGGAGAAGCCAGGACTGATCTGTAAAGCAAGGGAAGCTGTGGAAGGGTTTTAAGCAGGCAAGTCAAACAGCCGACTGGAGGGAGCGTGCTCCTGAGGGAGACACAGGAGACTGTCACTGGAGGCCCCGTGGGAAGGGATGAGGCCATGGGGGACGTGACCTTTACATCACCTTGCCCTTGCATCACCCTCTTGCCTCTGCTGAATGTTTCCAGCTTTTCTGAGCCATTTCCAACAGTGCGTGGACTAGCATTGTGAGCACCTACTGTGCGTGCTTTTAGAGGGGAACCAGGCAATCATTCCTGTGCTTCCCCTACACAGATACTATTGTTCAAGAAACTTTAAGTGAAGATGAATGTCAAGGGCAACCTTGGAGTGGATGAACCTCAAAAAAGCAACCACAAGAGGGGCCTGTGTGGAAGGCTGGGGAGCAGGCCCATTTACTCAGCCTGGATGAGGTCAGGGAGTGATGCTCTCTGCAAGTTGTGTAGCTCTGATTTTTTAAATTTTATTTTGTGTGTGTGTGTGTTTATGTTTTGGTTCTAGCTGGGAGTCATGCTTTCCTCTCCTGCTCCTACCTGAAGAGGTAGTCCAGCCGCCTGCTGGCAGCGCATTTCCCTACCCACCAGCCCTTCAGTTTGGGGGTGAGTCTGACCCAGGGCAGTCTCCTAAATTCATGGCACTCTCATAATGGCTCTAGTACCGGGCATCAAGGAGGGACAGGATGTCCACAGCCGATCAGACCCACTCCTCACCCAGGGCAGTCAGGAGCGATTGTGCCTGGAGGACATCGTGAGGAGGGCTGCAGCGAGCTAACGGTGCCCTAAGGACAAACGCAGGAGTTGGGGAGTGAGTTCTCCTCTGTCCCTGGCCCGACTTAAACAAGAAAAATCAACAGTGATGGAGTTCACTTGCCTACCTCTCACTCACTTCACCTGCTAATGAAAATGTCACTGTGGTTTCCCCGCCAAGGGCTCTTCGTCACCTGTGATTGAGACATCTCCAACAAGTGGCTGTTGGGGAATTCGGTTCCAACAGGTCTCATCAGCACCCAAAGAGCTTCCCGGGGACTTTGCGGGCACCAGGTCCCCCGTTGAGCCCCTTCTTCCTTCAGGCTGGGGCGTGTCACCAGCAGCCAAGGTTGGGCTTCCTCAGAAGACTGAGTGGGCTGCTGCTGGGGAGGCCAGGGTGGCCCCGAATAGACTGATGACCAGTGTCAGTGAGCAGTCTTTGCTCTGAGGCAATGGCAGCAAGATCGACTGGTCCCCTATGTCAAGGTGGCTTTGTGGCTTCAAACCGGCACCGCAGATGTGCGAGGAGAGTGCAGACGGGGCGCTGGCTGCCGGCCTCAGGTTGGAAGAGTGGGTAAGGGCAGAAAGTAATGGGCGAGATCCATTGTTGATGTTTGCCCTGGTGGCTGGTCAGGGGAGGCGAGGTGCTGTCCAAAGAGATGCAACCTGAGTGCCTCCCTGAGGACTGCCCAGGCAGTTTGCTAATGACCTGGCCCAACTGGGATTCTCTTGCTGGGGAGCTGCTGACATGTTTGGCCAAATGTCCAAGGAGATTTTCATTGACCTTTGGCTGGCCACGCGGAGCTGCTTGTCTCTGAATGAAGTGCGCCACATGGTGGGTGCCATCTTGAAAGTCTGTTCTTGGGTCACTTGCGGGGGGCTCTGCCTTCTCTGTCTCTCTCTTTCATGGTGTATGCTGGCAGCTCCGCTCAATGGACCAGCACTAGAATACAAACTGTCTTATTCTCGAATGACATTGACTGTGTAAGTCCTGTCTCCTCGGGTACATGGTTAACCTTAAGGACAGGAACATAAACTGATCACAGAACTTTTGTACCACCCTCTCGCTTTCCGTTTCGCTTACTGTTGTGCAGTAGCTGTCGTACAACTGGCTGCTTGATGGAAGTGCCTGAATTCCCTTTGGCTTTGAGCCAGCTCATTTCCGCACACATCTGCCTTCCCATCGAGTGCTGATCGTGGGCCTTGCACCTCATCCTCACCCACTAGGAGTACAGGATACATTCGTGCACCCTTCACTTCACAAGCAATATGGCTCATAGCTTGCATATTCATTCTGGGTCCTCTCAATGTTCCAAAAATGCTCTAGTGTTTTTCCTTAAGTGAGGAAATAAGATGGAATAATGATCTATTGCTGTGTAACAAACAGTTCCACCATGTAAAAGCTTAAAGCAGCAAGCATTTGTTATCTTACAGTTTCTATGGGTCAGGAAAGCAGCTTGGCTGGGTGGTTCTAGCTTCAGGCCTCTCATGAGGTTGCAGACAAAATGTTGGCTAGGACTACAGACGTCTGAAGGCTTGCCCTGGGCAGGAGGGGCTGCCTTCAAGTCCACTCTTAGGGCTGCTGGTTAGAGGCCTCAGTTCCTCTGTGTGTGGCCCTCTTCAGAGGCCCATACAACACAGCAACTGGCTTCCCCGAGCAAGTGATCCAAGAGAGACACCAGGGAGTTGTAGTGCCTTTGATGACCTAGGCTCTGAAATCACCTGCTACCCACCCCACTTCCCCCCCTGTTTGTTAGGAGTGAGTCAAGAGGTCCAGGCTACACTCAAAGAAAAGGGAGTGTCAGATAAATTTTGAACATATTTTAAACCATCACATAAAGTATGGCTCCTGAGTTTGACCATGTGGATGAGCAGAGATGGCTGAGTCTGTCCTCTGCTAAGGACTCACTTCCCCATGTGGACTTGGGGGTCTGTCCGGGAAACTCCGTGAGCCTGTGGCTTGAGAGTGGAAAAATTTTGGGATCCCCGGTTACAGAATTTAGTCGGAGTGTGACTGACTAGGATATTATAAAGGCTTCAAAATGTTCAGTACAGTTACTTCAGGCAAGTGCTTCTATATGTTCGTGGAAATAGGACTAAGATGCAAAGTTATGCATTTTTAACTTGAATCTCAGTTAGTGGTGTAAAAACTTGCTATTTGCAGCCAGTGGAGAGACCACCAGGAAATGTGTTTTGGCCCCACCCTGGTCTCTGCTTCCTGTTTGGAGGGGTTTGAGCTCATTCATTCATACACCTGAGCATTATGTAGGAGGGATAAGGGCAGCGCTCATAGAAGCTGCTGAGGTGCTCCTATGATGCCCCCTCAGATCAGAGCTGATCAGGAGGGGGACAGTTTAGGGCCCCATTAGCAGTCCGTGGACCCATCAATCCAGCTCAGACCACCTCACCAGTTAATGAGGACATTCTCTTAAAACAACTAATGGGCTTTCTTGCTGTGCTAAAATTAGAGCTGGAAGGTAAACATAGATATATCATTGGAGTGGAATAATAATGTTAAGCCACATGGGAAAATTCTAGTGTGGATTGTCATTCTGTTGTCCTTGGAGTTCTTGGACGGTGTGTTCTGGTTTGCTGGGGACACTCTCAGCACAGTTTGTCGTCCCTGGGTAATTATTAATGTCTCCTTTTACTTTCATAAATGTTCAGGTTTGAGTGGTAAGTTTTATGGTCCTCAAAGAATAGAGCTCAGCACTGAGTAGGCACTCAAGAAAGGTTAATTCCCTTCCTGGGCAAACCAGTAACCTCTGCAGAGAAGTAACCGCACAAAGTGCATTTTGTGCTTTTAACAAACCTATTCTTGACACCAGAAATCAAAATCGGGGCTTTTTCCTTGAGTAAGCGCTTCTTTTGTAAAGTAATAATGCTTATTCAGATTCATATTGGCACTGTCATTGACCTGGCTTCTGCCGGCTTTGGATTTGGCTGAGCTCATAGGGAAAGAAGCCTGTGAGTCTTCATCGACGAATCCGTAAATGCCTCACAATAACATCGTCCACTGTATGTATCAGTTAGTCAATCATTTCTCATGCACGACTTTACCTCACAGCAGCCCTGTTCAGTGGGAGAGTCTGGGGAACTAGAGATACAGAGAGGATCCCACAACTAATTAATAATACTCCTAAAACTGCAACCCAGGTTTCCCACCTTAGATTCTACATTCTTCCCTTAATCCTGCCTCTTTGTAGACGTTCCCATCAGCTGTATCTGGCCATGCCATGCTGACTTAAGATGTTTCTCTTAATGCCCAGGAAAGTTTAGGAAATCGATGAAGTTGTGGCATGATGACCTAGGTCAGTGGTCGGCAAACTGCGGCTCTTTGGCCCCTTGAGTGTGGCTCTTCCACAAAATACCACGTACAGTGTGATTGAAACTTCGTGGCCCACATGCAGAAGTCGGTATTTTGTGGAAGAGCCGCACTCAAGGGGCCAAAGAGCTGCATGTGGCTCGCGAGCCACAGTTTGCCGACCACTGACCTAGGTGACAATGTAGAATTTGGTTACTCGAGGACATGCATTGTTGCTAGCGTATTCATTTAGTTTGGCCAAGGAGCCCCTTCATTAAAGAATCCTTCCCTTTATTTAGTGCTTTTTTGGTTTACAAAGCACTTTATGTGCAGTGTCTATTTGCAGCCGTGTTTGATGCATGGGGAGCCTGGGCACAGGTTACTGTCAGAGGTCTTGGTATTACCGTTTCCTCCCAGAAGCTCGGAAAGATTAACGGGATTACTCAAGGTGACACATCTAGTAAATGGCAGCGTGGGACTCTGAGCTCAAGTATTTCTGATATTTGGCCCTCATTACTGATTTCAAAGAGTTCCTCCAGCATGATATCAAAACTGGGAGAGATGTTTGATTCTAGGGCAGTGGCTTCAGGATGAGCACCTCACGAAATGCTGAGATTGAGTCTCCTCTATGAAGAGGGATGAGTATACCTTCTGACCGCCACAGGGGTGAGACGTGCAGCGGCCACTCACAGGGCACAGATGACTTTAATCGACCCAAAGGGCCTGCGAAGTTAATTAAGCAGCTCATTTTCAAATGGAGCTGAGTGGGCAGAAGGCGATCAGAGAAGGACAAAGGACTTAGGAATGAGTGTTTTTAAGGCCTGCAGGCCCTGCCAGTCATGGATAAGAAATGCTGTAGGGAAAAATCAGAGGCCCATGAAGGTGAGAAAAGATAAAGGCTCAGCCAAGAGTTCAAACACATGGCAGATGGCTCCTTCTCCAGGGAAGCTGTGTTTGGTTCTTTATTTGGAGCAGGAGGAGTAGAGGGGTAAGAAGTTTTAGAGAAATACAAATACGTGAAGACCAGAGCTGCAGAAGGAACAGTGCCGGCATGGAACTGAGGACAAAAACACCCATTTTCTCTGAGTGAGACAATTCTATTCCTCCTTTGCTAGATCTCAAGAGAATCAGACACTGGCTCACATAGACGGGGCAGCAACTGACTCATGTCGTGAGCAAATTACTTATAATTCCTCTTGGTGTCTTCTTTTCCTTCTTCCTGTTTTATTCTCCATCCCTTTTGTGTGCCTGAGGACATGGACCGACTTAGATTTCCTTACACCAGTTAGAGGCGCTCGTTTCCAAGCATGTGAGGAGTTGTTTGATTGAAAGAAGTAAGAATGTGCGTTGATTGAGGTGAGCAGGCCGCCATGCCTGTTGTTTTCTTCATAACGTCTGAAGGAGTTGCCTTAGAATCATTGGCTGTTGGAACTGGAAAAAGGAGCTTTAGAGACTGCCGTTCAACTTTCCCTCTGACGCAGGAGCCTTTTCTGCAGCTACGTGAGTAGATGACAATTCAGATGTTTTGGAACACGTTCCGAGGGAAGAA